GACCTGTATCTTGTGCCAAACTCTTATCTCTTCCTGTGACTTAGAATGCCTAACCTCCTGAGAATGCAGCCCAGAAAGTCACAGCCTCCTTTTACTCAGCCCATTTGAGATGGAGTTGCTTTGGATCAAATGTCTCTGATATTATGCCTCTCCAAAATGCATAAAAGCAAGCTGTACATCGTGCATGTCATCAGGACCTCCTGAGTCTGTGTCATGGATGCATCTTCAACCTTGGCAAAATAAACTTTCTGAATTGATTAAGACTTGTCTCGGATACTTTTTGGTTTACAAGAGCTACACAAGAGGATCGGGGAAGGCAGAAGTCAGGGAAAGGCCGCACTTGAGTGTGCAGGGCCTTGGAGGTAGCTGTGATGATTTGGCTTTGACTCTGGGAGGGTTTGGAGCAGAGTGGGAATGAGACCTGACTTGGGTCTAAGGAAACTCTTGGCTGCCCTGCTGTGAGAGAAGCCTGGGGGAAGGTGGGGGCAAGGAGGCAATGAGGGGGTCATGGTAATGGTCCAGGTGAGAGGGGCAGGGGTAGAGAACCTCCAGGCCAAAAGAGTGGGTCCCTGGGGATGCCCCACTGTCAAGCCAAAAAAAAAAAAAACGTGAAACCACAGCCCAAAGTGAGAACTTATATCCCTGTTTTCCCACTCAAAAAGCATCTTTTCCTAAACCAAAGCATCTTTTCCTAAACTACCCATGGCCCCACCCTGCCCCATCCTGTGCCTATAAAGACCCTAGGCTTGACGCAGAGGTTGCAGTGAGCCAAGATTATGCCACTGCGCTCCACTCCAGCCTGGGTGACAGAGTGAGAATTAGTTAAAAAAAAAAAAAAAAAAAGACCCCAGGCTCGGCTGGCAGAGAGGAGAAGCAGCTGGATGTCGGGGACTACGGCTGGATGTTGGAGAGAAGCGGCTTGCCTTCAGAGTGACAGCTTGATGGTCTAACTTTGGAGAAGAGTCTGGCCAGAGACAGACAGATTTCGGGAGAAGATTACCTGCCCATCCCTTCTACAGTACCCCTTCCCACTGAGAGCCACTTTCATTGTCCAATACAATACCCCACATTTACCATCATTCAATTTGTTCACGCGACCTCATTTCTCCTGGACAATGGACAAGAGCTTGGGAGCCACGAATGCAGATACAAAAGAACCCACTGTTAACACTTAAGTCGTCTGCGGAAGGCAGAGCTGACAGAGTACTGTAACACGCTCACTGGGGCTTCGGGAGTCACAGGAACCCCTGCCTGGGTCTTGTGGTGGGGCCTGCATGGAGATCGCTCCTGCTGGTGCCTAAAAATGCTCACTCTATTCATAGCCATCTTGGACTAGAAATAAATAAATAACAAAAAAGAAGAAGAAAAAAAAGTGCTCACTCTGGCTCCTGCACCCACTCACCCACTCTGGCTCCTGCACGAACTCACCATGGAGATCGCTCCTGCTGGTGCCTGAAAGTGCTCACTCCGGCTCCTACCCACCTTGCAGGAAGGAACACAGTGGGTCTGAGTGAGTGGAGTTTGATCCCACCAGCGCCAGGGCAGCTGGCCGCTTCCAGCACTCATTCTCTCCAGTTCCCGCCCTCCCGTGAGGAGTTGAGAGCGGTGGGCTGAGTAAGTGAGGGGCCCCTGTCTTGGTCCTTTATGGGTCCTGTGAATGGGTCAGGGAAATATCCTGCTTCACAGGCAGAGTTGAGGGGTGGTGGGGAAGGCAAGAGGCTCTCCTGCCAGGTTTGTTTTGAAGCAGGGCAGTCTTTGCTGACTGATCGAATGGGTGAGGGGGTGGGAAGTCAAAGGTGATACTAAGGATTTTGCCCTGGGCCTATTTCTGCATTTGTAAAACAGGTGGTGTCATTTCTACCCCTCAGGGTGTCGTGAGGATTGAATGAGAAGATGTAGGTCACATACCTGGCAATGCTGGGGACACATGCGGAGCTCACTGAGGGGTGGCTCATCATCTGCTGCCAGGATCACCCTACTTCTCTTATCCCTGCAAGCCCCCTTTTCCTGCAGCCTTGGGCTGGCCAGTTCCTGTGCATCCCGGATCTCCTTCAGATGTCTTCTTAGGGAAGCCTTTCCTGATCCACCACACCCCATCACACAGAGAGGCTCCCATCCAGAACTGTCCCTTCCGCCAGGAAGGAAGCCCACAAGGATAGTGACAGACCCTCTGCCCCCAGCACCTAGGAGAGTCCCTACCTGTAACAGAATGTGCCTGAAGCCTTCCCTGGCCTCACTTCCACCACCATCTGTCTCCAAGTTCAAAGCGCTGTGGTCAGTCTCTGCCCGAGCCCCCCATGGTCTTTCTCCCTCCCTCCTCAGACTTGCCCCACAGGAAGGTATGGGTAGGGCTGGGGAGGTTTGAGTCAAGTCAGCCTGGATCAGGCGCAGGTGTTGTCCTCAGGCTGTGTGACCCTGGGCCAGTCATCGTTGAGCATCAGTCCCTCCCTTGCTAAGTGCACACTCAAATAAGACTTGTTCCTTCTTTACACTGGGAGCTCTCCCACTCACAGTTAACAATTTGCCCAGCCCAAGACAGTCCCAGGCAAACCGGGCTGGTCGGTCATCCTATTCATACCACAGCTGAACTCCTTAAAATTAGTTAATTTCACAAGCCAAAATATGACAGATTCTACTCAGACAAACAAAACACTGAAAAGAATCAGGGCTCCTTGGGGAATGGCTGATTTCACGTCTGGAACATAGAGAGCACAAAATGATCTTGGAACAATTTGCCTCAGATATCAAGGAAGTAATAACAGTAATAACAAATGATGACGTTTTGAAGACATGGAGCCAGGTTGGAGGCGCTCCCATGGGCCAAATCTGCTACCACATGAGCATCAAAGCAAGTAAGGAAAGTAATGGATTGTAACCTGCAGAGTAAAACCAGACTCCATGCAGCCATACTGCTCATGAATGAGTGAGAAGGGAATGAATAAGAGGGGATGGCTGCCTCACAGTACAAAGGCAAATCATAAATGGAGGAGGACTAATGGAAATAGAAAAGCAGCAAGTATGGTAATAATTATTTCAGGCAAGAAGTAGTCATGAATGCTAAAACTAGTGGGTCAAGGTTTGAGGAGTCATGGGCTATTTCTATGGTTGCAAAGTCTTCACTCATGACACTAATTACAAAAGAAAAACCCGGCATCGACCAGCCTGACCAACATGGAGAAACCTACTCTCTACTTAAAAAAAAAAAAAAAAAAAAAAAAGGCTGGGCGTGGTGGCACATGCCTGTAATTCTAGCTACTCGGGAGGCTGAGGCAGGAGAATCGCTTGAACCTGGTAGGTGGAGGTTGCAGTGAGCTGACGTCACGCCACTGCACTCCAGCCTGGGCAACAAGAGCGAAACTCCATCTCAAAACAAACAAACAAACAAACAAAAAAAAGAGAGAGAGAGGAGAGAAAAACCCAGCATCGATCAGAGAGGTGTGAATCAACATCATGTGCTTCAGCTGGTGCTCAGAAAACTCAGCAACATCTCAGTGACAGTCCTGCCAGAAACACATAACCGCATCTCCCCATGAGCGTGTGCACTGCACTTACCAGAAAGGTCAGATCAAAGGAGACTTAGGAAACCTGATGACTGAATGCACCTGGATCCTGGACCAGAAAAATACTGAAGCTCTCCAGTATGGTGTCCAGCCCTGGTGCAACTGGAGTGTGGACTGTGCATTAGACAGTGTCCGTACCCTGTGCGCTCTCATTACTGCTGTGATAGCTTCTTCCATAATTTGGTCTTGAGGAAGAGTGACCATAAGCCAAGATAGCCACTCTCTAGAACTGACTGGGTGTGGGGGTCAGGTGGAATACAATGAGAAAGTAAAATTAAAAGATGTAAAACAGAAGAAATTTCTTATTCATAGGTCCCGGCGAAGTTAGGGGTACCTATGGGAGGTTACAGGCAGGAGGGGAGGGGCAACGAGAGAACGTGGGAAGGAAGGGACTAAGTCCGTGTTAGGGTCCGAGGGGCTCATCCTTTAGGATTTCCCCTGGGGACTGTGGCCTGGCCAAAGAAAACACGAGGGAAGGATGAACTCATTTGCAGCACGCCGATACTGGCCATCAGGTGCTATGGCGCTAGACAGCTATGGGGTGTGCTGGGCTTTAGATCAATGAGATAAGGAATAAACGGGCTACCTTACACACCACCACACATGGAGAAGTGTTACCCAGGCCAAGGCGAGGGGTACGACTGGCTTTCAAACAGCTTAAGACAGGCCTAAAAATAGATTCGGAGACAACAATTACATTTACCACGTTGAAGACCCTATATTCACGGAAACGTCTTTATTCCCAAGAAACAGAGCTTGAAGGACTGAGGGGCGGCGCTGAGGCTCCTGCCGGCCCCTGGGCGCCCCCTGCTGGCCAGTCCTCCTCCCGCCCCACAACGCCCGCAGAGAGCATGCGTCACAGTCCCCGGGTTTCCAGCAGCAGCCGTTCACCCGCGCGCTCGGATGCGCTTCTCGCTCGCGGTCTCCAGGGCTCTGTACGCGTAGTGCGTCCCACTGTCGGGAACTCAGTCCTGCCGCCCGCACCCGCCTCCGCCTGGGGGGCCTCCCGACAGCCGCCTTGCCATCCGCGTGGCCGCCGGCTGCAGGAGACACAAGGGGGGGCGGCGAGGAGCGGCGGGGGAGCTGTACCCCCGGCTCCGAGTGCGGGGAAGCCTGCGGGGCCGCGCCCACTTGGCTGCAGTCCAGTGCACTGCAAGGCGCCGGTGCATCCGGCTCTGACGCTAGCGACGCGGGCCAATCACGGCCGGCGATGGGTGGGCGCGGGGCTGGACGGGCCTTGTAGTCGGTGCGCGAGCGGGACTACTGTCCCCACAGTTCCCTGGGCGGCGGCGGCGTCAGTGGTGGCGCCCGAGGGCCCGCCCCTCACAGGGCGCGGACCACTCATAGCCGGGGGCCGGGCGGGCGCCGGGCACGATGGATCTCGTAGTCCGATCGCGGGCTGGACTCCATCCCCCAGCGGGCCCCGCGCTCCGGAGAGGAGGAGCCGTGCGGCGGCGCGGGCGGGTGGCCGTCGGGGCAGGGCGGCGGCGGCGGCAGCGGCGGCGGCGGCGGCGGCTGAGGAGGGCCCGGCCTGCGAGAGCCTCGGTGGGAGCCGGCTCGGCCCTCGGCCACCATGTCGGCGCCGTCGGAGGAAGAGGAGTACGCGCGGCTGGTGATGGAGGCGCAGCCGGAGTGGCTGCGCGCCGAGGTGAAGCGGCTATCCCACGAGCTGGCAGAGACCACGCGTGAGAAGATCCAGGCGGCCGAGTACGGGCTGGCGGTGCTCGAGGAGAAGCACCAGCTCAAGCTGCAGTTCGAGGAGCTGGAGGTGGACTATGAGGCTATCCGCAGCGAGATGGAGCAGCTCAAGGAGGTGAGCCGAGCCGCCCTGTGGGCGTCGGGGCCTGTGGGCGTCGTCCCTGGCACGGGGGCGGCCAAGGTCAGCTTGCCAAGCCGAGCCGGCAGGGGTGGGCGGCGGGGGCGCGGGCCCAGAGCGGGGGACCCCGGCAGCATGTGGGAGGGGGCCCAGGCTTGGCTAGCAGGCCGGTGCCCTGGCCGTTGCCGACGCCGCTGCTGCAAGGGTCCGGGCGCCGTGCCGCCTTCTGCGGCTGCCCGCCTGCTTCTGTGCGGACCTAGGCGGCCCGGGCGGGGCGGGGCTTCGCAAGGACTGATGCTCCGCGGTGGTCGCTGTTCGGGGTATGTCTGAGTGTCGGGTGAGTTTGGAAGGGCAGTGGCTGGCCCGAGAGCTGAGGCTGCGGATGCTGGCGACCCTCTGGGAGAGACCGAGGATGGGCCTGGGCCTGGGTCTGGGTGGCTGCGGCTCTGTCACCTTCAGGCAAATCACTTCCCCTCTCTGGGCACAGCTACTTTCGGAGCGTTTCTGCTTTTTTCATGAGTGCCTCCAAGGTGGGGAGATGTGGACAGCGGCCTGAGTGGGGGGTCGGGGTTGCATATGGCGGCTGCCCCTGGCATGGGTCCCCCAGTACCCCGGTTTCAGGCCCAGTGCTCTGTCCTCATTGCCGGAATTGTACTCCCACCAGCTAGCGTGACCTCCCTGGCCCACTTCCTGTCCAGCCCCCGCCCCCCCCCCATCTCGGGTCCTTCCCCTCGCTGTGGCTGTGTTCCCCTTGGACGGAGACCTCAGTGGTCTGTGTCATTCCCACTGTGGGGAGAGGAGGTTAGACCGCCAGTCTAGACAGTCTTTCCCCAGCTTCTCTTCTCTCCTTCCCTGATTCCACAGTGCTGTTTGCAGGAGTTGCTTTCTGGGAGGATACCCCACGGTTTGGATCCAGGTTCTGCCCCTTGCAAGTCATGTGGCTTTGGGTAGAGGCCCTCCCTGAGCCTTAGCTTCCCCATCTGCAAAATGGGAGTGCAGTACTGCCTGCCCAGAAAGGATTGTTATGGGGGTCATGTATTTGGAAAGGACTGGTGTGGGGTCAGGAGTGTAGCCTGACAGTGTGCCCCTGCCCCACTTGACTGTGTCCTGGTGAGCCCTTGGCTCTTGGTCTCCAGGCTTATCACCTGGCAGCTCTGCTCTGAGTCAGCCCAGATAGATGCCTAAACCATTTGCAACCTTCCTTGCCTCTCCCTTCTCTGGGGAGACCAGTACAACCCCCATCTGTGGGGAGGAGAGAATGAGTCCAAGCAGGTGCTTAAGTCAATGTCTGGGCAGAGCAGGTGCTCAGCCAGTACCAGTTTGAGCCTGGGCAAGCGGGAGTGGGGTCCTCCGTCACCCTCAGGACTCGAGTCTGTTGTCTGTCAACAGGTACTGATGCCTTCTGCAATCCAGGCGTCAGTGGCTCTGGAGCTACAAGAGGGGTGAAATGCAGCCCCTCCTGCAAGAGTCCCTATCTTAGGGTGGGTCATGTGACCAGGAGGCGGGGGACTGTGAGAATATGGAGTGGGAGCAGTCTCCTGTAGTGGGGCTCACCCTCTCCAGCAGGCAGCACTATCTGTTAGAGCACATTTCCCTCTGCATACAGAGAAGCAGCCCTCATCCTCCTAACGAGTGCATTATGAGCCACTCCTGGGCAGCCTCTAAAGTCCCTATCTCTGTTCACAGCTTGGGTTTGGCAGCGATCTCTGTGAGAAGGGTTTGTTGCTGACCTAACTTGTCCCCACTTGTGTGCCCTTCATTTGTCAGCTCTTTGCAATTCTGACACAAACGTTTTGGCACAGTGAAGAATCTTGGCGTTTTTGTGTCACGTAACTGGAGGGCGAGTCCCTAGCAGAATCGGGAAGAGGGTGTATCTGTTTCTGTGGGTGATCTTTAGGCCTGCTTGTTTTTGTCACCACCTGGCTTCCCCATGTACTGGCCACATGGCCTTGGATACATTATTGCTCTGTTCAGAACCTAGTTTCCCTTTGTAAAGTGGGGTAGGAATGTTGCTGCTCAGAGTCCCTAGCAGGGTCTAGAGGAATGTGCATCAGCGTTTCAGTTTCAGTAGATGTTGCCAAAAAGTTTGTACTACCAGTTCAGCCCCCATCAACAGCATGCCTGTTCTTCACACCCATGCCAACACAGGGTCTTGCTAATCTATTTAATTATGGCCAGTATTATAGTTAAACATATTAACCGTTTTTTTTTTGGTTTGTTTTTGTTTGTTTGTTTGTTTGTTTGTTTTTAAAGACGGGGTTTCACCGTGTTGGTCAGGCTGGTCTTGAACTCCCGACCTCAGGTGATCCGCCCGCCTTGGCCTCCAAAGTGCTTGGATTACAGGCGTGAGCCACCACGCACGGCCGAAAATATTAACTCTCTATTTTTTAAAAAAACCCACAAGATTTAAGGAGACAATAATTGTAGGGTTTTTTCTTTCTCCTACAGAGAGGTGTACCACCTTAATTCTTTAAAAAACTTCATTTCTTGAGCGAAAGTGCATTTAGTTACTAACAAATTGTGCTGCAAATGGAATTGCTTGGATTCCTGCCCCGCCTTTGTAGATTATAGGATTGTTGAGGGAAGGAAACTAGCCTGCTGGTCCCAGTGTGTGGGTTTATGAACAGAGCTGAGGAGGGTCCTGTGGTGGGGAGTGGGAGACAGTGCCAGTCCTGCTGACACGGCACAGTGCTGGCTGAGGCCACGAGTGAGGAGAGTGCCCCCTGGTTGATTTTTGCCTATTCATGATTTCTTGAACCTGACTCAGTAAGGGCCATGCGTACCCAGTTCCCGCTGTGCCCTTTCCCTTCCTCTCCCTGGAATGGTGGGGAAAAGAATTAGATGGGCTTTGGTCAGTGACCTGGTGTTCCTTAGTCCTCCATGGCCCTGGGACACATCTCTCTCTGTTCTCAGCTGCAGCTTTAAGGAGACAGGTGTGCTGGGGTGGCAGCTTCTGCCTCCAGGGCACAGGCAGGGACTGTAGGTAGATGGGATGAGGCTAGGTGCCCATGTGGTCCTCATGGTCAGGGGACGGTGATGGGGGAGGTCTGGGAACAATCTTGACTCCACCTGAGCTCAGGCTCAGAAAGCAGATCTGGACACCCTCACTGCCTTGGTGTGCCACCTTGATGCCATAGTGCCAAGCTTTGGAGCATCATTGTCCTTGTCTGAGAGGTGCATGTGGGTGGAATTGGGTGTTGGAATGGGTACAGGACCCAACATGCAGTAAGTGCTTCCTAGGTCTTCTGTGGTCTAAGTCTCATGACTCACTCAGGTCTCTATCTCCTTGCTGCTGCACCTGCAGCCTCTCCCCATTCTCTGCTCGGTCTCAAGCGGCTTCCATTACCACCTCCCAAGGGCTGCCCTGAGCATTGTCTCAGGCCCCTGCAGCCTGGTTTGAGACTGCCCTGCCTCTCCTGTGCTCACATTCGCCCTTCGTCTTAGAAGTCCCACCTGCCCTTCAAGCTTGGATGCCTCTACCTGGGAAGTTCCCCTGCCTGCTGCTTTCTCACTTGCCTGAGCCTCTGTTCCCAGCACCTGGGCAGCTGCAGGAAGTGGGCAACAGGGGGATTGGTAGAGGACCCTCCAGGAGGTTCCTCTGCAGAGTTACCAGGGGGCACGCTGAGGCCCAGCCTCCTTGATTGCTTCCAGAGCAGGAAAAGTCCTGGTCTTGGTTAAAACAAGTGCGGGATTCTCCTCCTCTGATAACCCCTGAGAACATCCTTGAGTCCATTTCTGAACAGAAGGCTGTTGGGAGCAGGGAGGCTCTGGGAGACCCAAGGGCCTTTCAGGAGGCTGAGTGGTGGTAGTGGTCTGCTGTTGGTATGAAGAAGCCTGGCTTGGGGTGGGAGCTGGGGCTCTGTGAGTCCTTGAAGCATGGATGGGTCTGACAGTTGGGGAGAGGCAGCTATAGGCATCCAAAGATGTTGACCATGCGGCCCCACTGTGTCACTAATTGTTGGGCAACTCTCTCCCCTCGTGGGCCTCTCTTTCCCACTTTTAGAATATGGGGCAGAGGGTCTTGAAGGAATCTTTGGGGACTTTCACACTTTTAAAAATGTCTGAAACTCCCACATCAAGCCCTGGTGCTATTTCCTCCTGCAGGGCCTGGAGACTGGGCACTTGTATGTCTCAATCATCCTAGGACCTGGCCAGGGAATCTACCCAACCCCAGGCATGTGGATGGTGTGCTTCAGGCCAGCCCTGCCAGCATGTGGAGGCGTGGACCTGGCCACCCTCCAAAGGATTCAAGGCAGGCACAGCTGTGATGAAGCAGCTCTTCTTTGGGGATGCCAAGCAAGCATGCTTTGAGGCTTAGCAGGTGGGTCGGAGGGAGGTGAGGCCCAGTACTGGGAGCCTCTGGGCCCCCAGGGATGCCTGGCACCGCCTGAGTAGGACCAACTGTATATGATGTCTGGCCCTGTGGGCTCCATACTGACTCCACAGGGGGAGTCTGGGTCCTGCCTGGTCTCCCAGGAGCTTGTGGCCCTGGATGAGCCACTTCCTGTTTGGGCCATAACAGATTAATCATGATGTCTGTTACCTTGGCCCAGTGCTTCATGAGCCCTCAAGGTTGGGGAGGGGTGTCCCTGTGCCCTTGGGTCTGAGCATCTGGCCCAGGTCCATATAGGATTTCTGCTAGGTCTCCCCTGTCACTTAGGGACAACAGTCCCTTTCCTTGAGGAAGATTAGTTTCTTTGTCAGTTTTGGGCATCCCTCAGTCAGCCAGATCTGCTTTTCCACATTTGTGGATCAGGTGAAACTGTTAAAACACATCGGGGGTAAGAAAGATTTGGTTTCTTCTTAGACAGTATACCAGCTGTTTGAGGTGGTGGTGGCTGGTGGTCAGGGCTGGCCAGGACTGTGCAGGCTTCGACAGGTAAATCATTGGCGCTAGACCCTGTGTTGTCCAGTGTTCAGAGTGCGGCCCCTCAAGCCAACCTCTGGAGCAGGAGAGGGCCCAGTGTGGCTGTCCCAAGCTGGGCTCTACTCTGCTG